TTGTTTTAAAAAATCAGTGAAATACATATTTACAATATATACAATATTAAGTATTTAAATGTTTAATAGTTATTAAAAGAAGAAAAATAAGATGTTAGATTTTCTGGTTAGCTAACATAATCATCAATTTTTTTCATTTAAATTTGTTTATAAATAATGAATTAATTGAATAAAAAAAAAATTGATATTTCCCATTTAATTTTTCAGCTGTTAGTAGTGGAGTATCTCTTGTATTGTCTTCAATCTTGACTGTTCTTATATTTTCGGGAATGCAAATATATAAAGTTTGGTTAGCATCATCACAAATTTATACAATATTAGGAGGATATATTGGATCGATACTATTTATGTGCGTGTTAACTGCAATAGGAAATTTGGAATCAACAATATTTGGAAAATCTTTTCAACAAAAATTATTTCCAGAAGGTGCATTATTTAATATTGACATTATTATGTATAATTATGTGTAGACATATGAAATTAATTTTGAATAACAATGATATTTTTTTTACAGTTATTTTTTCACTAATGATTAGCTTAATTGCATCAGCTTTGGTACATCGTGTAGCAACTACAACATGTTTTATATTTTCTATGATTGCATTATATTATATCAATAGAATTTCTCAAGAAACATATGCTCAACCAATGCCTCCAATATCAATTCATATAAAGAAGAGGAAATAAAAATAATTATGAAAATTTAATTTGTTTTACAATACTTAAAAAATGTTGAATTATTTCTAAAACTATTTTAAACTTTATGTAAAATTATTTTGTCTTGTAATATTTATGTAATATATACAATATATAATTAATTTTTAATTATTTACTTTTATTTTCTTAAGAATGGGATAATATGAGATAATAAAAGTCAAAATATATTTATATTATTTATAAATATTTTACAATGCTTTAGGATTTCGCTTTCTTTTGCTTCTTCTATGTTTTTCTGCTTCTTCTTTATCACTGAAATACTCAAAAGATTCATCTGATTCATCATCATTAAGAAGATCTTTATTTTCTTTTACATCAGGACTATCTAATGTAGGTTGAGACATAACTTGTTTATAAATTGTCATTGCCTAAAAATACAAAATAATTATACTTAAATAATCTATAAAATAATAATATAATTAAATCTTTTAACATACTTGTGTTACTAAGGCAGACACATCAGAGACATTACTGGGCAAAATTAAAGTATTATTAACTTTTGCTAATTTATTAAATGCTTTAACATATTGTTCTGCTATACTATATGCCGCTGCATTTTTTGCATCGGTTAAATTGAGAGCACCTGCAACAAGTTTTAAACTTTTTGCACGTGCTTCAGCAATAGCTACTAAAGCAGTTGCAGTACCAGTTGCCTTATTTATTTCTTCTTGTTTTGCAGCCTCTATATATAAAATCAAATAAATTATTTAACAATTTAAAACAGGATAGATTAAAAAATATAATTACCTGATGCCAAAATTTGTGCTAAACGTTTTCCTTCAGCGATATTTATCTCTGCTTCTCTAGCTCCTTCCGATTCTAAAACTGCAGCTCTCTTTTTGCGTTCCGCTTCTACCTGCATTTGCATTGCTTCTTGCACTCTTTGTGGCAATCTTATGTCTCCTATTACAAAAAATTGAGATCATTAGAATTTTTTGAATAGTAGGTTTTTTAATTTTTTTTTAATTTTAATTTTAATTTTATTTTTAATTTTTTTAGTCTTACGTATTTCATATCGAAGACATGTTATACCCCAAGCTTCACTTGCTTTATTTATACTATCAACAATACAAACATTAAGTCCCTCTCTTTCTCTGAAAACTTTATCTAAAGATATTTTTCCTAATTCAGATCTCATTGTGGTTTGAGCTAACTGAACTACAGCAAATTCAGGATCATCAACACCATACGAAGCCAAAAATGGATTAACTACTCTTAAGTATAATATACCATCAATATTTAATGTTACGTTATCTGTTTGAAAATATATGATTAATATTATACTTTAATATTGTATTTATATTTTTTAAATATAAATATACAATTGATAATATGTACCTGATGTAACAGCACTTTGTTGAGGTATTTCTATAGCTATTTCTTTGAGGCATTGAACATATTTAATTTTATCAATTATTGGTGTAAGAATATTTAATCCTGGATTTAAAATTCTATGAAATTTTCCCATTCTTTCAACAATCCATGCCTAAAAATAAATTTTATTATTATTAAAATAGATTAGATTTTAATTTATTTTACAAACCTCTTGTTGTGGAACAAATAATATGATGGTATTCATAGGAGTGCCGGATTTGCATCTAACAAGTTGTGTTACTGGTAATTTACGAACAGTATGTTCAAATTCAAAAAGTGGCTGGAACTTTAAACAAAAATTTTTTTTAAAATGATATAATATGGTTAGAAAATTGTGATTATAAAATTTTTAAAATTAATTAAAAAATATTGAATTTACCTTTATAATGCCAAAATTGCGAGCAAATTGCTTAAATCGACAGTTCATTTCCCATTTATATGTTCTCAACAACATTATATTGACAAGCATGCAAGATAATTTTAAATACTATAATAGGTTAGATTCACACGTTTCAATAAGTTAGGTTCAAATTTTAATGAAAAAAAACGTTAAGCATAATCCATTAAATATTTTTATATAATATTCAAATAATTGAAGAACAAATATTTTCATTCGTAAAACATGATATTTTGTTCTTTAGATGTCCAAATATACTATTACATTTGATAAAATACATTTATACAGGATACTTCATGTAACTTGGCACAGCAACTTCTTGGATAATTAGTATATGGAAAATGATAAAGGACATAAAATGAAGCTATGTATGTACATATACATTTTATATTATTATTATTTATTATATATATATAATTTTTTAATATACATTTAATATATTATTATTATTAATTATTATTCTATATTTTATGAATATATATTATTTTATGTTGCAATTATTTGATCTTAATACTTTATTAAAAATTATTAGACATTAACGGAATTAATTTGTAATGCAAAAAAGTTTATATAATCTTAAAAAAAACAATGTAATTTTTATATCTCTATAAATATATAATAAAATTGATAAAAAAATATAAAATGTATTATTTAATTTTGTTTTCTCAAATCTTTTTTTATTTCTATTTATTTTCATAATTTGATTTATTTATTCGAAATAATATATAGAAATCAAAATATCTAATGCCATTATTTTTTTTTTTCGCAAAATGTTTTACTATTATAATTTCAAAAAAGATGTCATACAAATAAAGATTCAAAAATCCTTTATTAAAAAATTATAATAAATATATGAAATTACAACTAATTATTTCTGTTCAATAAAATATAAAAATAGATTCATGATATTTATTATATTAATATTAGTATTTATATTTTATTTTTAGTTTTATTTCAAAGTATCATTTATAAATTTTTATTGCTCATTGTCATTTATAAAGTTTTATTATATATAAATTTATATATAAAATTATTATATTAAATATAATAAATCACTTACAATAAATAAATTAGTAAACAGCTATTGTGAACAAATTAGGTAGATATTATCAAATCATTCTATTATTTTATATTTTTTTTATAATTTTTTATTAAAACTTTTTTTCATATAAACTCATATATATTGATATCATTTATTTTTCATATAATTGATATCATTTTATCGAAAATAGGAATACTATATATATATGTAACAAGAAGAGAATGAATATGGATCTTAAGAAAAAGCAAAAGTTTCGCAATATTTTTTACTTTATTAAAATTTTTTAATTTTTTTTTTTATATGTATTGAATTTGTAAACTTTTTTTTTCCAAAAAATTAAATTGTAAATTTTAGTAAAACTATGCAATTTAAATATTGTTAATATTGTATTAAATAATATCCTTGAAATATAATATTCATTATTGAAATATAATGTATTAAATAAATTATGTATTAAAAAAAAAGTATCAATAAAATAATACAATCATTTGGACTATTCCATTAATAAATCATTATCAATATATATTTAATTGAAAATTAAAAAAAAATTAAAAAATACATCTAATAATACTTGAAATATTAAAACTAATAATAGTTTACATACGATATAAAATATTAGAAGTATAATACGGGTCATGTATAGCAAGATCATAAATTAAATTATTAGAAAATGGTCAGGTAGTATCAAATATGACACGCATTTAATTATTATATTCTTTTTTAAGTTTCTCAAAATTTTTGAAGTTTATCAAAATACTTCTGACATCTAATATTTTATTGGCTGATTTTTATATATTGTTATATATATCTATATTATATTTTAATAAAGTTTCATATAAGGAAATTAATTTTTTATGAAATATAGCGATAAACTTCTTCGATATTATTGTTTAATAAATTTGAATTTTTTTTAACATCATTATATTTTTATAAAAATCATTATATTATTTTTAATATTATATATTCTTACTGTCATCAAATTATTATGCAGGTTAAGAAATTTTTATATATGTTAAATATTCAATGGTATAATGTATACTTAAATAAATGTAGATATGTTTGAATAATAATTTAACGATTTTTTTATGAATATATATCATAAATGTCAAGATCAAATATAAGAAATATATACGTATAATAAAATGACATATGAACAAAGAATTATCCAAATATTTATTTTATCGTTGAATATGTTTTAAAATAATAAATTAATAATAATACAAATTAAAAATAATTCCATATAAAAAATGATATTAAAATTTCTATAAATAAAAAATAAATAAAAAATTTAATATTACATACATTTTATGTTTTATAAATTAGTATTTTTTTAACTTTTTCTACGAAAACAATTTTAAATGTCACTTAAGTAATAACAAATTATATAAAACAGAATAATTTATTATCATTAGTATACCTAATTATTATTTCTTTTAACTATGAATATTTTTTTTATTTCTCGAATGATTAAGTATTTGCTTATATAAGTTTGTTTGTGCAAATATATAAATAGATGGAATAATCTAGTTCGTATTCAGTTTTCCAAAAGAAGTTCTATAAGAAAGAAATTTAATTATTTTGATTATAAAGAATAATAAAATTTTTCATTATGTACCATAATTATATTGTATTATTAATATTATCTTTATTAACGTGGACATATGCTGAGGAACTTTATTCTGATAAATATGATTATGTGAATATTGACGAAATTTTGGCAAATGATCGTTTACGAAATCAATATTATGATTGTTTCATCGATGCAGGCTCTTGTATAACTCCGGATTCGGTGTTTTTTAAAAGTAAATATAAATTCTTATTAAAATATGATAATATAAAAAAAAATCAAAATAAAATTTACATTTAATTAAAAAATTATTAATTATTAAATAAATTATTTAATTTTTAGGTCATATAACCGAAGCATTTCAAACACAATGTAAAAAATGTACCGAAATTCAAAAACGAAATATGGACAAATTAGCAGAATGGTTTACTGCAAATGAACCAGAAAAATGGAATCATTTCGTGGAAACAATGATAAAGAAAAAAGATGAAAACGCATAAGGTTCACGTTAACTAATTATTAATATTATATAATTATATAATTAATATTATAATTAATTAATTGTAATTAATATTATATAATTATAAATTAATATAATTAATTTTTTATATAAAATAGTGAATAGTAGTAATTATTAGTAATTGAAATATATCTATTATATTCTAATTATATAATGTAATGACAAATATAATAAAATTATTATAAAATATAATTTAAATTTATAATTTGTAATATCTTTGTATTTTTCTAGCAATATAAATCACGATATTTTATGTTTAATTACATTGCTTAGAAATTGAAAAAATATAATTCATGTTTAGTAGAAATTTTTTTTTAATATATGTATTATATAAGATTGAAAATTTTAAACAAATTGAAATTTTTTAAATGATACAACAAAATTTTATTTATATATATAGTTAAATATAGTTAAGTATATATTATTTTAAATTAATCGATATTTTAATTTTATCACGTGAGTTGGTTTCATGTTTGACAATATCGATAGATGAATTAAGCGCGAAATTTTAAATCGCATGTAAAAATATAAAATAAGTAATACGTACATATATATGTATTATAAATATTATATATATTATCCAAATATTTTATATAAGTAATATGATAAGAAGAAAGATTTAAAAGATAGAAAATATTTTGATTTTGAAAGTTCAGATTTTAATTATTATAAATTGCATTAAATTAGCAATAAAGATATTATTTATTAATTAAAAAATGTTCCATTTTCTGAAGATATATATATATTTTTTTTGATACTTCTATTTTAATAATAAAAAAATTACAAGTTAAAATTTGTATTTTTTTTTATTATCTTGAATGTTATATACTTTCTTTTTGTATTTATATATAACTTTTATTATTTATAATTCAAATGAAAATAAATCTAGGGAGAAAAATCTTTATTAAAAGCAAAATAGTTTCGCGTTTCATGAATGCTGATGTATCTATTATTTCTAGAATATCTTTTAATAAAATATATAACATAGAATATTAAATATGTAATAATGAATTTTAAATAATCAAAAAAAAATTCTTTTTTCTACTGTTAATTTTTAATATTTTATTTAATTTGTTAACAATTATTTTAATGATTTTTATTTTAATAATATTTATATTTAATATTTAATTAAAATTAAAATTGTAAAAAATTATTTTCGTTTGATTTTTTCAATACATGAAAAATTTAATGAAATGATGAATCTATCGACAATTTATATATCGTAATATAAATATGAATAAGAATATACAAAATATAAATTAAAATCATCATGTGAAGTGATATTAATGATATTAATGATTGTTATTATTATGATGAAAATTTTAAGTAAAATTACAAAAAATATCTTAAGAAAATTAAAAAATGTTTTACATTAAGAAAAAAGAATTTAATATTCATTGGTTATTATAAACCGATTGTTGGAGAATTAACCAATAGGAAGCAATGTTGTTCACGCGGGGAGAAATAATGCAGTGGTTAAGGGAGCAGTCTACTGTGATAATTGTGTGGTAACTGACAGTGCAGTGAAAAATATCGTATATGTAGGTTTGCATCATTATTCATATCAAAAAATTACACTTTAATCTAAAATGTCATCTCCTGCACAGGTGGTGAGTAATATTTTTTCTTATCGACTTTTCAATTCTCATAAATTTTTCTATTGTTCTTCGTTAAATTTTCTTTATTATCCTTATTTTGACAATTTGTTATAGATTTATTATTTTTTCATATATAGAACAAAGATATTGTCTATTTTTTATTATTGTTTTATTATATTAAAATAAAAATTATAAATGATCTAAAAAAATATTCCATCGAATTGTTATTTTCTTTGTTTTGAACAAGTACTATCTTATATAGCGCATTCGTTGATTTTCGTTTCCGTTTACGGGTTATTAATAACTAAGTTGGTAGTATTGCGAATATGTTTTTAAGAGTTTATTTACATTTAAAATTATTTTAATTGCAAATAAAAATAGAAAAAATTTATTCATTTTATAGATATGAAATCGATATTATTTTATTGTCATTTTTTTTTATTGTAAGACATTTTAAAGCTATATTATATATAATATAGTGTAATTAATGTGTTAATTTTGCAACAATAGATTTACTTTACTTTCTTTAATATGAAAATTAAATACCAACATTCTTAATACCATACACTTGTTTAACTATCCTAACCAAATTATTCTTATGTTTTTATGATGCTTTAATCGATTGTTTAATATTATTTATAAGAATAGAAATAAAAAATATTGCATAAAATGTATTTTTATTTTATGAAAGCAATAAAATTAATATTTGAAATTTATTATTTTAAACATTCTTCAATTTTTTTTTCATTGTTTTCTTGAAATCATAATACGAAAATTTATATTTATATATAATGCAAAGTTTACATGTATAAAAATATGCTTTAAATTTCATTAATACAATTATGCTTTTTTTCTTATATTTTAAACTAAAAGAAATATTATAATATAGAACGATTACAGAACAATGATTGTATCTTTATTATAATATTTTTCTATTACTTTATTTTTTATATTATTTATTTATTTTTTCTTTAATTTTATGTTTCATTACAAATAAATTTTAAATATTCACTAATATTTGTTCAAATATTTAATATAATTTGTTATAATACTATCTGTTAAACATATATAAATAATATTTCTTAATATTTGTTGAGATTTATTCAATGATTAAAATAAAAAAAATATTTTGATAAATAAAAATTAATTCATTCAAAAATGATAATACTATATGCATCCAATATTTGTTAAATATAATCAATATATTATTTTGAAAATAAATTTATATTTTTATTATTTAAAAAGTTATTTCTAAGAAATAATTAATATCGGCGAAAATGAAATAATAAAAAAAATATATATAGATTGATTTCTAATTTTAAATTCTAAATAAAGAAACAATTTATAACTAAAGTTTTCGAATGAATTGAATGATTATTAATGTCAATATATTTGAGTTAAAAAAAAAGTGTTATGGAACTACGCACGCTGAAATATATTGCGATATATATATCAATTGTTATTTCATGAAACTGCGCATCAGTTTCAAGTAATTTACATTAACTAAAATCTACTAAATACTAAAATCTTTATCAGATCTTGTTCATTGGAGAATGGTATACTGAATTCTTATATTAATGCAAGTTATACATCTGAAATTGATATCTTGATTTTGATATTAATTTACACGTATTGCAAATTGCATTATGAAATCAAGCAGTTAATACATAATTGCAACATATTTTAATATATATAGACTATTTTAATTACATTTAATCACAATCAACGAATTCGATCTGAATTTCATATTTTATCTGTTTCAGTTAAAAAGTATTGGTCCAAAGTTAGTCCCGTTCTTTAAAAGTGTGTCTGTATATTTTATATTACTGGCTGAGCAGCCGTCTCTACTGACGGCATGTTTCAAATGTTTACCAATTATAAGTCTTATCGTTTTTGTTCTGCTACATGGAATTAATTTATCGCAGGAGTAAGTGCAAAAATATTTTGCATGCATTAATCCTTTTACGTCACACTTTTATTTTATAATTGACAATATTAATTATTTCTATTATTCTTCAAATATTATATTTAAATCTGAAAAAAGTTGCATTAATAGCGTGCCATCAATTTTAGCGATAAAATAAAGATTAATTAACTAAAGTTTATTGACTTCTATATATCTTTATTTTCAACATTAATATAGCAATATATCCACAAAACATTTATATCTATAAAATGATAGTGCTAACATTTAGCAAAGCGGAAAAAACAAGTTAATCAAGTATATAACATTTCCGTGATTACTTGTAGATGCTAGCCAACCATTTATGATCTTGCTTACGCTTATTTTCAAGTTTTTTTTTTTTCCTAATTGGTAATGCATTTTAAATATTCCGCCAATTCTTTTCTTAACAATTTCCACATTTCACAGATCGCATAAAATTCGATCTTATAAGAGCGATTTTTATTGGAACAAAGAAGAGGATTGATTTATTATGAAGCAGAGCAATATTGTTTCTGTTGATTTTATGAATATATCAATGACTACTTTTATTTTTACATAAAATATGAAACATCGTTATTATGTTTTGATAATCAGTAAAATATTAAACATTCCTATTCAACGATGTTTTTATAATATTTTTAAAAAATTCATTTTAAAAAATGAAAAAAATATTATAACTGAAAAAATCACCTGAAAATGTAAGTGTAAGCAAGAATATTTTTTTCATTGCTTCTATGCTTCTTTTGCTTACAATCTTAAACCATAAAAGCTGGGCACTATTTACCTAAAAATTTAAATTAAATAGATTATTAAAATTATTATTAATGAAATTTTTATTATTTATTATTCTAAAAATATGTTACTTACTACATAATATTATTATATTATATGAAATTTATTTCAAATAAAATATATCTATTCCTGTTATGATAGAAATGATATAATATTAATATTTATTCAATAATATTAATATTTATCCACTAATATTGAATTATTATTTTATTTAATTTATTCATACATAGAATAAGAATAAAAAATTTAAATACATACTTCTATGTAATTAAATACATATTTCTATGTATTCTATCAAAAAATTTTCAAAACAAAATTATTTGAAGTATTATAATAAAAAATTATAATAGGAAAAATTTTTCAAAATTATTTTTTTTTTGATAAATTTCAAAATTAATAATTTTTTTAAACAATAT